AGAGAGAGAGAGAGAGAGAGAGAGAGAGAGAGAGTATTATTCTTATTATTTTTAACTTCTTGACGTCTAAAGTTATGTAAACATTCTCAATAAACAACTTTTGCGTTGTTTTTAATTTATACACACAATTAGTGTACAGTATATTGTTATACACAGTTCGTGGTATATTTGGTTTATAAATTATAATAAAGGTAAATAATCTATTTAAAAATGTATATTGTTTAGCTACGTCAAAAATGTTGATTCAAAATATCCACCTTACTCATAATAATTATATCAAATAATTAATAATTGTACCATGGTGTGCAGAGTGTGGTTCGCTATGAGCACAAAATTGGCGTTACTATTGATTGCGGTAATTGTGGTAATATTGGTGAGCGAGTCCAGTGCCGGACCCGTGTCGTGGGCCGCCTGTCAAACGGCTTGTAATGTGGGTTACGTCACGTGCTGTGTAATAGCCGGCGGTATAGCGGGTATGAATACCACTAACATGAATCGCTGTGTTATAACGTAATACAACAAGGTTATTATTACCTATTCACCAGGCACATTCACGTTGGTAGGAGCACCCGCAGCTTTGGCCGCCTGTAGTACGGTTCAGGGCTCGTGTATGGCCGCGTGTACTCCCCTTTTATTAGCGCCCACTCCGTAATACCACTCTGTATTAAAATATTAACATGATTGTATTCTATGATGGTTATGTTGTAATTCATATTCTATAACTCATAACTAAATGATAACTATAAGTAATTGAAGTATAACTTCTCATCCGTTTAATTACAAGCGAACTAATAATGTGTACTAATATTATTAAATTAAAAATTATTTTAAAACATAATTAGAACATAGCTAGCTCAAGTTTTGATGAACAATCTAAATGATACTACATTTTAATATTTAAATAAAATAAACACATTTTTTAAATACATGTAAAGCAATTAAATTTATTCTGTAAATACTTATTTGATTGATACTTAATTGATATACTGATTTATAAATATAAATATATAGAAATTAATGCATACATTAAAATATACTGTAATATTCTTACGAATGTCAGGCTATTTGAGCCGATGATAGGGTTAATGAGAGGACAATCATTTAGGGATCAGATCATGGATTCCAAAGTGAGTAACTAAAGGGTTATTCAAACGATTATTAATAAAAATATTTTTACGACAATAAGACTTCTTCTCATTGTTTACATGGATTTCAATACATTTTAGTTTAGGTCTTTCGGGGAACAGGTATTTGATATCATTATCGCTGAGATCTTTATAATAACGGCAGTGAATGACAAGCGTTTGCAGCGCCGGTAGTCTTGAGATGTGAGCCAAATAACTGTTGTCTATTGTGTTGTCTTTCCTATGAATGCATAGGTATTGAAGTCGTGGCCACTGTTTGTCAAATTCAATCGTTAACTTAGCTTTAATTGCATTCAAATTAAGCGTCAAATGTGTTAATCGGTGGCAGAGTTTCAACGGTTCCAAAGACTTGACATCAATGTTTGCAAAGAGTGTTAAATGCAATCGTTTTAATTGGGAATAAACTTTCAGCGAATCCAAAGTCGTGTCATTTATTTCTTTACAGTTTGTGTTCAATACGAGTGACAATCGTTTCAATTGTTTGCAATTCACGCCAATTGTGTGTAAAGCGGCGGACATTACGACATAATTCCCAAATATATGTATTCCGAGACTTAATTCCCGTAATTGTGTTAATCGTGACAATTGTCCGCACATTTCGTTTATGTTATAAATGTTTTTTAACGATAAGACATCTGAGAGTCTGATTTTGTACCACGAATTCCGGAAAAAGGTTTTTGCTTTCAATAGAATTTAATTCAATTTTTTGCAAATTCTTTGCCAATAGTCCAGAAGTACTGTCGAAGACATGTGAAGAAATGTGAAATATTTATAATAATATTCACTGAAAAGGGGTTCAAAATGTTTTCTAAGCGCAGAAGCGGTTGAGAGAGAAGAGAAGGAAGACATCACTCGTCACCACAGATGACGGCAATGAAGACAACAGACAACAGGTATTTCACAAACAATTCACTGTTTATTGAGTTTTAAGTATTTTTGTTAAACATTTTAGACACAAATCTACGCAAAAGACTCTTTGGATCGATTCGGTGATGATTTGTGTGAACTTCTGTTGTCCTATCTCTCACTCGAAGACTGTTTTGAATACGAATGTGTGTCCAAACAGTTCCAGAGGACAGTCTTCGAGAGTGTTGTCGACATTCATATTTACAAAAGTTTAATTAAAAAACTAGTGAATGAAAAGACAATTAACGTTCAAATGTTGGCCACAATTGCCATAAAATGTTCAAATATTCAGACCATTGACTGCCGAGGAATAGGTTACACATATGAGACATATACTCCCGAAGTGTTGAACACATTTCGAAACAATTGCCGGCATTTAAGAGATATTTACGTCAATATACGGAAGAATAGCTCAAAATTGTTGCCATCATTTGGATCGTTGGTCACAGAACTCGATGTGTCTTATTTTGAAGAGAAGCCGTCACTCATTCCGTTCCACCGATTGTCACAATTAAGTGTCAGGTCTCTGAATGATGTCTTTGACAGCACTTCCGGACAACTAATTGCAAAAAATTTGCAGAAAATTTCATTTCAATGCTATTTAATGGATAATAATAAGCGACTGTTGTCTGCATTTCTGGCACGCAATCAGTCCCTCAAAAGTCTTAGTTTTAGGACTAGTATTAAAACACTGAAAGAAATCTCCGGACAATTAACACAATTACGGGAATTGACACTCAATTTGTACGGAAATAATGGCGAGAACTCATTGTCTGAGTCTTTGCGTACAATTGGCTTAAACTGCAAACAATTGCAACGATTGACACTTCAATTGATGACAAACAATACACCACTCGATGGCCAGATATTGGATTCGTTGAGATATTATCACAGTTTAAAACGATTGCATTTAAAACTCAATGCAAACCTTAATCAGCAACTGTTGGAACCGTTGAAACTCTGCCTTCGATTAACACATTTAACACTCGATATAACGGAAATTAGTGGCCAAAACAGCGGCAGAACTAATGTAATCACTGGAGAGTGTTTGTCACACATCTCAATACTACCGGCGCTGCAAATGCTTGTCATTAAAGTCAATGAAAACTCTGATCTCTCAGATAATGATTTCTCGGATCTGTTGTCCAGAAGTCCTAAACTAAAAAATATTCATTTTATTAAAAAGTATAAATCAAAACACTTTTGCACCAGAAATGGTTTAAATGATTAAAACATTTATTCATTTGATATAAATATTAATGAAACTTATATTTTTATTTTAATACAGTATTAATAATACTAATAATAAAATCCTTAAAATGTTTAAAATATTTAATAAGTATTTGCAAAATAAATTTAATTGCTTATATTTTTTTAAAAATGTGTTTATTTAATTTTAATATTAAAATGTAGTTTTCATTAGATTGTTTATCAAAAATTGAGCTAGCTATGTTCTAATTAAGTTTTAAAATAATTTTAAATTTAATAATATTAGTTCAAATTATTAGTCCGCTTGTAATTAAACGGATGAGAAGTTAACCTTATATTTCAATTCCTTATAGTTATCATTGAGTGAATGCCAAAAATAATTTTTTGAATTCGTGGACCAAATTCTCGCATCTTATAAAATAATGTAAAAACAAAATCTTTATTATTATAAATTAACAAACAGACAAAAAAAAAAATAAAACTTATAAAACAATTGTTGTCAAATGTTGCAAAATGTTGTCAAATAAATTCAATTATGAAACCAATATTTGCATCAATTTGTTTAAAACACTGAATAATTAAAAATACAAACCAAACTGTCGTTTACCTCATGTCTTGTTGAGACACTTTGCAATTTAACGACCCCTCGGTTGAGCTCATTCTCGCCGATGATAACGACAAATGGTATGCCTTTTCGTTTGCAGTCTTTTAATTGACGTACAATTTGGGGGTTATTTTTGAACAGGTGTTCGGCTCGTATGCCGGCCTCCCATAACTCGACCATCACTTTCATGCGCTCTTCAGTCATCTCCTCACCGATGGACGCGACCATCACTTGTGTCGGGCAGTAGTTATTGTCCTCCCATTGCTTCTCCATTACGGCTAATATACGGTCGACACCAATACTGAAGCCAACGCACGGCACCCGCCATCGGGGCTTATCTGCCAACCGACTCACCAGATCGTCGTATCGCCCGCCGGCCGCTATACTCCCGCACTCCACCCCCTCTCCCGCTAACTCTGTCTCAAAGATGACACCCGTATAGTAGTCCAGACCTCTGGCGAGACTCATATCAAACCGGATATTATCCGTTAACTTAAATATATCGCAGTATTTCAACAGTAGTTTAATCGCTTTCAACCCACTCTTGGCCTTCGTATTAGTGGCCAACTCTTGGGTTAACAGTCTGTCCACGAGATCCGCCGAACCGTTCAACTGAACAAATCGGCCGATTCTGTCGGCAACCGATTCCTCTAAACCTTTCTCTCCAACCATTTCGGCCTTCACTTCATTCCAAGACATCTAAACAATAAAATTATCAAATTTTTACTATTATTTATATAATTCAATATAAAGAAGTATTAATAAATATATTTTAATAATAAATTTAAAATGACAAAAGGACTTTTTGGGCTATCATACACTTAATCATGATCATTTAATTGGTTAACCATTTACAGCGCTGTTTGTTGTACCATGATACTTTATGTTTATAGTCCTTTTATACACACTCTTTGAGCTCATATTTGAGACATACTCTCATTGATAGCCCTTTTTTATTGCAATACATTGACAGCTGTTTTACACACTCTTATAATTTAAACTTAAATCTATGAAAACATTTTTCAATAAAAATTATTTATGCAAACAATTTTATAGCAATTGTTTTGTTACAATTGTCTGTTAAATATTTTTAAGAGAGAGAGAGAGAGAGAGAGAGAGAGAGAGAGAGATGAGTTGAATGGAGTATTTAGGCATTTAGGTTCGTTGGACGGGTGTGTAGTAGTGGTGGTCATTGGCACGCATTGTCAACACCAGTGACACCAACTGAGATGTAGGGGACGGGAGTGAAGGGATGGCTATTTGTCACTCTCGGTGGCAATGAGAGCGAGTGAGTGATGGGCAGTGATGGGCACGTGCGGTGTCGTTGGTGTCGGTGCTGTCATTGTTAGACCCCTTCATAACCCATGAGGACGTGTTCAGAGATAAAGAATTATATATTCGTGTTATTGTTGTAAACACAGAGACAGAGAGTGTCATAGAATAGAGAATTTGATTTTCATATACGGGTCTATGGTTTACGATATGCGCTAAATATATGCGATATTATACATGTATTTACGTATATATCATGTATGACGTGAAACACATCGTAAATAACAACACAAACTCATAAACAAATGAATGAATTGAATGAATGAATGAATTTACTATGAATTAGAGGCGTAATCGTAATATAATAATAATTTCTAGAGTATTGGCGACATTGGCTTTGGTTATGGCTTTTAAAGAGAGAGACTGTGTTTACATGTGCTATGCGTTGGCCACCACTTGATTGAGGTCTTGAGAGCTACCACTTTGACTGTTAAGACAACAGAAATAAATATCTAAACAATAACTGTGTCTCGTATTCATATGAGTCTATTTTAAAAGTGAAGCCCC